CTGGGAATTAGGTATGCCACTGGTTGTCAACCGTAGAAACCGGGAACTACAGTTCATGGGAAATAATTCTGATAAAGGGTTTTGCACATCACTTTCAAATGGCCTTGGTAATACTTTGGAATCAAGTCCTGTATCATATGACCCTGGAATAGACCCAATAGAGAGAGAATTGAAATCCTCTGCTAAACCCTGCACATTCGATATTGGAGGTGCAGATCCTGGATGCTGCAATTGTGGGGGTGGTCCTGGAACATAACCTCCTGGTGGAGGAGGAAATCCTACAGCTTGCCCAAATGTAGGTTGCGTCAATGGACTTGGTTGTGGGCTGGAACGCACTGAAAAACCAGGCTGAAAGGTTGGCCTCACATGTGGGTAAGATGATACTGGTGGATGTGAAGGCTGCAGCATATTTGTTCTGGGAAAAACATCGGCTTGAGACTGCTGCTGGAGAGGAAATGGAGGTGTAGAAGAAGAAGGCGGGAAATTTGGGAGTCCCCCAAATGAATTGTGTGGGGGTATCATTTGGGATGTTTGGAAGGGGCCTGCAATTGATGAAGACATTGGAGGTGGCCTGGGTGCATCACTGGCCACACCTGGTGCCATGGGTCTAAAACCATAGGGTGCTGTACTCGGTGGAGCAGCAAAGGGTGTTGAAGTAGGTCTTATAGGAAAACTTGGCTGATTGGGATTTTCAGTCTCCATTGATTAAGGACTGCGTTCCTGTCAACAAACAGCCCGTGCCAGAGGTAAAACAATCAAATTACTCCACTATTTTAGCATGATAATCGCATTGAAATGCGTGAAACACTTACAAGCTGAAGTGGCCGCACCTGGGAGAAATAGAGCGCAGGACACGTTTAGGAGAACGCCGCCAGCGGATCGTTGACCGGACGGGATGGGGAGGGGATACGGGCACAGGCGCCGGTTGAGTTAGAAGCAAAAAGTGCGGAATTTGGGATTCATTTCCGGCAAAGGTGAAACCGACGACGGAAGGGAACTCCTCCACCGGGTGATGCGATGCGATCGTGGATCTGTTTGGAGAGTGTAGCGAGATGTAGAAGAATGCCAACTATTCATTTTTTTTCGAAAAAAAAATGTTACTCTTTCTTTTTTTTTTCTTTCCATAATGGTATTTAATTTTTTAATAGAAATCACTTTAGATATTACTAAAACATAGGAAAAAGTACTAAAAGAAGAGTTTCATGTTTTAATTCCCAAAAAGAATTTTACACTGTGGTAATGTAGTCGTCATGTGGCACTGTATATGTGCACATTACTATACTTTTTGTTAATTTACATGACCATGTTTGGTAATGTAAATGTATTTTAACTCTTATTTCGGGAATAAAAACATGGAAGTTCTATTTTGGTATATTTTTAACGTTTTACTTCTAATTTAGTCTTTTTTCCAAATTTTTATTTTGAGGTATAATTCATACAGAATATATCTCTAATTATTCCATGGGCTTGCATTGTAGTGTTGATTAAAGGAATTTCTTTCACTCTTTTTTTGGGTACATTGATTCTTTATTTAAGAAAACTTTTTGCATTTTTTTTTCTTTTTTTGGATTTTTTGTTGATTATATTTTCTTTCTTCTTTTTTTTATTTTTTTGTTTGTTTTTATATTCTTGTGCACAATCAGAATAAGATCATGCATTTACATGACAAATTATTGCATTTCAAGAATCAAAGTTGATTACAAAAACGGTAAAATTATCCTAACACAATTATGATGCACGTATATTTTAGATAGTGAACTTACTACAAATGGCTATGCATTGAAAATGTATAAGTTAGAAACACGTTGAATGATGCTAATTTTTAAGGATTAAAATGCATATTTAATAGGTTCAGGTGCAAGATAATAATCTGTATGAAAAAATAAATTATCGCCCATTCGCTCAAATGATAGAGTTGTATGTAGTACAGATGTTAGTTTGAATCTCATATTGGTAAATTATTTCTCAAATATGTATCACAATTGTTGGGAATACAATGTATTATCAAGCTTTCTCATCACATGCAAAGTCGCACATGAGTCATTATTCACTAATACACGAGTTAATAGAATAAAACTAGAATAAAATCTAAAGCACAAATCACATTGCATTTATCGGCCATCACAATGCATTCGCATTAAATTCGAAACTGTTTATATCATAGTGCATCCTCTTAGATAAATTCTGAAGAGTAAGTTAATAAAATTTCTTTTCTAAGTTAAATCCATTTTTAACTGTACAATATCACTTTTGTTGTTGTTGAAATGTGGGAAGAAGATAATATGAAAATTTTAAATTCAAAATTGGTGTTGATGCTTAGATATTGTTGAGAGATGTCTAACATATTATTATTTTTCAAGGACGGTCAAGTTTAAGAAAAGTCATGTACAAACTGATAATTCAGTAGAATAATTACATAAAATAAAATTTAATATTTCAATTAAATAATCAATATGTTTATATAAAAAGGGGGTACGACTTGATCAAAGACGTGAATGGGCAAGATTAACAATTTTAATTAAAAGTAAGCGTGTATGGTGTGGTCAATGATTTTCCTAATTTGCCCTTTTCTATTATATTGAAGCATAAATTAACATGCCACATTAAATGGAGTCTATCTAAATTATTATTTTTTGCTTCAATGGGATCGGTTAGATTTCCAAGATCAATGTCTATTCTCTTTTCTTATTTCTTTCATTAAGCACCATTATCACATGAACTAACCCCTATATATGACAAAAGTTATATGATGTCTCAAGGGCAAGAAGCAATAATTGTCAAAAGTTATGGAAAAATTTATCTAATTATTCATAATTTAAATTCTGTAATTGATCTAGTTAATACTTTATCAAAAGTAATATTTCCTTCACGTTTTAGTTTGTTAATTTTTGGTATTTGCATTTAATGTTTCACAAATATTCTCCCTAAAATACATCACTACGTTCTAAATTTTTTTAAACGATAGAATAATAGTGTTTTTTGATTCATATACTTCTTCATTGTAATATATATGGTACAACTGGATGTCTTGTATATCATGACAAACATGTAATTGAAAAATATTTTAGAATAAATGTCACGTTGTTTTAGAATGAGCACACTACGTTGAACAGACTTTGGATGGGCTAACTCTAGGTAATGGATGTATTTACTTCAGAATAAATACTATGATGAATCAAAATGAATATTTACTGGATGTAGTTAACTCTAGGTAATGGCGGAGCCATGTTTAGTGTTGTTATTCGATACCACTTGTTATTCGATGTTCCCTATAAGGCGCTTAAAGATTTTCAAGGTTTAATAAAATTAGTGTTGGCAAATGTGGAAGTAATGTAAAAACGTAGAAAATTAAAATCGTAAAAAAAATTAAACACTAGTTTTATATAGGTTCGGGAACTCCCTACTCTAGTATCTTAAAGCTCCTCCTTAAGAATTTCTTAATCACTTAGCCCCGCCCTCTTGAACTCTGTCTAAACACCGTACTAGATTTTTGGCGAACAGCCCTTGTCAATAGGATTCACCCCAAGATTTCACAATGATTATCTCGAATCGCTACAGAAAAGAGTTAAAGGCTATCTTCTACCTTTTCCCCCAAGGATTTGAAGGCTATTCTCAAATGTTTTACCATAAGATTTCTCAGCTAATCTTAACCGTCTACACAAAGATTTATATGGTCATCTTTAACCGTTATAATGAGTAATAAATATGCCTAAAAACATACAAAAAATGTTCAATGCCTTTGGCCTATGATAAAGAAAAAGATCAATCCTTGGCCGGTGAAGAACATGGACTATACACTCTAAAACAATACATGATCAACCTATGAATGTGAAAGTATATACGTATAATCATAAGCTCGAACTCCAAATCTAACTTTTATAAGTTTCTTTTCAGTATGTGGCTTGAGAGATGTCTTTGTTTTTCGATTTGTATCTTAGCTTGATTTTTGTTAAAGCTTTTAATAGTGGGATTTAAAATAAAAGCCTCAACAAAACTTTCATGAAGGGCAAGTTGCAGTTTTGTACTTGTTTTGAATGTATATATTGCCTCCGTCCTACAACGTTATTCCCAGTTACTATTCACACAGTCAAACTTTAATCACTTTTTAAATCTATTTCGTTAGGTATTTAGTAAGGTAATATATTCTTGTCACTTCTTGTTTTAAAGAACTTTTGATGTAGTTTTTAAATATTTAAATTTTATTTTTTAATTTTACACCGACAATCAAATAAATTAAATTGAAAATAAAGTTGGTCAAACCTCATAAAAAACGGAAAAATGTTTTAGGATAGAGGGAGTAACTAATATATGTAATGCCTCCTCCATCTCTTAAACTATTTCTCCTTTCTTTCTTTCTTATCCCACAAACTCCTTTCTTTTTTCTATTAAAAAACTACTTTTATCTTGATTAATTCTTATTCTATCATGTCATTTTTTTTACTAATAATCTATCTATCACATTCTATTTTTACTCATCATATCAAAGATATTTTGGAAAAGTCAACACAAAAATGTCTTAAATTCTTAAAAAGTCAATAAGAGGAGAAATTTAAGAGACCGAGGGAGTATTAGTTTACATAACTAACATATTTACACTAATCTTTTTGCACTCTTTTGAATCATAATATAATACGGAGTACTCAGTATCATCTAATTCTAGGCAACCGCACACATCTTGCGTCTCCAAGCTAGTCTTGAAATAGATCTGAAGATTTTCTTAATTTTGAAGACTTTCAAAACCAACACACATAAAAGGCACAACAAAACCACCCACACACACAAAAAAAAAGGAACCACTCAAAATATGCAACACCTGTATGTGTGTATGTCTATATATATGTGTTTTAGGACCATGCTAGAGTGCCACCAAATGGTTACTACCATGAGTACACCCAAGTTTCACATAGATGACACAAATGATAATCATCTTTGCGACGCAGATGATCATCTGTACGAACCTTGGGTGCACCAATGGTAGCAATCATTTGGAGGCACCCTAGCATTTTCCATGTGTCTTATTGGTTTCACTAGATGCACAGGTGAGACAAACATTGTGAATTACATAATAAAACTGTCCAAATACAGAAACACACATTTTTTCGGGACAGGCAAAAAAGAAAAACAGACACAGCTTTTGAACAATGGGAGTAACATAGCAAGAATTATGGGCAAAGGGAAAACAAAAATACAGAATACTATAAAAAGCACAATGCTTTTGTCACAAAGTTATGAAGATACTTGACAAATTGGGAACATTCACACTGCCGCCCATTGCACACTTGGTTTGGGATCACTGATTTTTTCCAGAACCACTTCCAGTCCAAGCAGTAACACCCTTGCACTTTTAAAAAAAACAGAGTAAGTTACTACCAGAGTAGGCACAAGCACAACAGATGCAACAAGAACAAACCTAGTAAAATCACACAAGACATAAAGAGGTTTCTGAGAGACATCCGACTCAACATACAAGCACAGATAAGCACAAAAGACGCAATGAAGAATATTTAGGTGTCAACCCCACCCACAACTCTACCCTTTTGTAAAGGGATAAGGTTTGCATCCATCAACCCTAGACCCCAACTTGTGGGATTTAGAGGGTTGTTTTTGCTGTATAATATGTATGCATAGAAGTGTGTGTGTATGTGTGTGCGCATATGTGTGTCCCATTTTGATAATAGGAGGTAATAGTTATGAGGAAAATACTCGTATATCTTTATACATGTGGATGTCAAAAGTTTGAATCTCCTAGTTGATGCTATTTTTCTGTGTAGTATGTTTATATATACCTCCCTCCCTCTGGATTTAGTTGTCCATTATCTTATCTTTGCATGTCCAGAAATAGTTGTCCAATTTCCATATTTTTTTAATTTACGATGAATTATAAAATATCAGAGATAGGGTATTAGCATTATTGACTAATAATGAAAAACAAAAAAAGACAATAATAATAATAATAATAATAATAATACTCCCTCCGTCCTAAAATGTTCTTCCTGTTTCCGTTTACGAGGTTTGATCGACTTTATGTTCAATTCAATATATTTAATTGTAGGTGTAAAATTAAAAAATAAAATTTATATATTTAAAACCTACATCAAAAGTTCTACAAACAAGAGGTGACAAGACTATTATTTTATCAAATAACTAAAGAAAATAGGTAAAGAAAGTGATTAAAGTTTGACCATATGAACAGTAACTAGGAAAAATGTTTTAGGGCGGAGGGAATAATAATAATAATAATAATAATAATAATAATGAGGGACAAACTCATTTGAAGGATTTATTCGACATTTTAAACTCATTTCTTAAAACTGTGATTCTTCAGAAAGCAAACAACTAAATCGGGACATAAAGTACTTAATGGTGGTTTACTTGACAATAACCTGACCGTATTACGTGAAAAGTCTCTACCTACACATTAAAACGCAACACACTTGAGCCTCACCTTTTTAATTCAAATTTTCTTTGAAATCTCATAACAAAGGTTAGATTAAACATTTTGAAAAGTTCAATTTAACACATAATTTGTGAGATGCATGTGCTACCTTTATAGTATTAGCTCCACCTGCCCTTTTTTTGCATATGCCACTCAGTCTGTATGATGCCACCCAGAGTAATTTGTTCCGTTTTCATCCTCGTGTGCTGCTGCAGAGCTACTAGTGTTCTGATTGGATGAGCGAAAAGGCCATAAGAACGAGAAAGGATTCCTTCTTCCCTGGTTCTGGTTGTTGTTGCTGCTGAGCCCTGTGTTGTTGCTGCCTGACCCACTGGATCTTGAACTCCAATCGATGCGCCTTCTTCCAGAAACATGTGGTGGTAGTTCGAGGCGGCAAACCGGGCAAGAGTTGTGCTGGACCAGCCAAGGAACAATACAATCAGAGTGATATAAGTGGTTACATGGCATCTGCCTGGCTTCACACCCCAACTCAAACTCATCTTGACAAACTGGGCAATGTGAATCAGTACTCATATGCCTCTGGGTAATCCTGATGGTGGGCATGGCATCAATTGCAGAACGTGGTGCCGGTGGTGGGCCCTGTCTGCCATTCATACTAAGCTGCTCAATCAAATGCTGCAGTCCAGACCCCATAAAGAAGTCATCAAGATTAGCTTGGCGATGTCCCGTTCTTGAACTTCCATTGAAAAAGTACTCAAACGCATCATCGGGCGCCATACGAACAGGAGATTGACCATGAAATACCAGCCATGGGCCAGATGGCACAGAACCAAAAGCCATATTGTTTTCTGGCATAATGCCAGATCTTGACCGAATATCATAATTGGGGTTTCTTCCGGCCATTCTTTGCCTCACGAATGCTTCAAGTGCATCCACTAATCCTGGGTCAGGGAAAGTTTCCCTCAATCTAGAGTGATTATGATTATCATCATCATCCATAACTGAACCAAAATGTCCATGTTCTCCGCCTCTCACTACCTCACTGAGATCTTGCACAAAACCTCCTTGGCAGTATGGGCAAAGAACATTAGACCCTCTAGGCTTAATCGGCTGTGTGCACTGGTAGCACCAGTGTGTGTACCTCCCACTTGACATCTTCAATAACTACTAAGAAACAAATGGTATATCTAAAGACCAGTTCCAGGAGTCATCCAGCATCAAATGCTAACAATTTGATAATAACCAACCACTGCAACAAAACTAACAAGAAATACTAACTGAAAGCTATTTAATATGTAAATCATAGACAATTATACACTGCTCAAACAAACACTTATAACAGAATAACTTTTTAGCATCCACATTGGTTTGAATGTGTTCAAGTATGGTATATAAGGTGTAAACTAACAATGTATTACTATCTATAGAGGTAAGGTGTGCGAACATATTACCCTCCCCAAACTCCTCTGGAGAAATCACACTCGGTCTGTTGCTGTTTTTCGTGTGGTTATCACAATGTGTGGCTTGTCAAGGTACTCCATCTGGGACGGAGGGAGTATATCTCTAAATTTAGTTCTCTACTTCCCAAAATATCTCATCTTGCCCTTCATTGATGAAAACAATGCTAATATGCTCTTTAAGGGATACTTTTTACACATCACAATTGTTCTACTACTAAATATGATAATTGGACAACTAATTTTGATTGCTCCAAAAAGGAAAAGTGGACAACTGACTCTAGCCTCCAGGCTAAGTACTTTTTTGGTTTTTTCTTAGGATATACCTTAATAGTCCACAACAAAAGTGGCACAATTTGAAAGAAAGCTTCACTTCACAAGGCACATATCATATGCATAAAGAACTTCATTCCTGTGTCTACACTAAGACCGAAGGAGTGAACTCAGAACTAAAGTTAAGTGGAGGTATTTCTCCCTCTCGTGTATAAAACTGAAAGATGATATTCTTCAAAATACAAGTAAATCTAAGAGGACGGACCTCTTTGTAGCATGAACTTCTGCAACTATCTTCAGGAAAGAAGCACAATTCTTCACCAAATCTGGAATAAGAAGTATTTACGAACTTTTCAAAATTTTACCCGACTAAAAGACGGAAAGGCGCACTAAGTTGAAGAATCTGTCCTACATAGATTTAAACAGTAAATCTTTCTAAATGTCTAATCATACACAAAAGCTCCAGATTTCAACTCAAGAAAAATACAAAAGGAGTAATCAAAATCAGGTCATAACCTAAATCCGGAACAGTTCAACTGAGATAAAAGTATAATCACTTCAAAAACCGACAGAGCTGCTCAGAAGCATAATTGAAATGGATTAATAGCGGAACAGAGCTTAAATAAGGGGTTTGGAAAGGGAATTACTATAGAGAACAAAGAACTTACCAGGCAGAAATGGGTAGATGGTCAGTGGGGAGGAGGATGGGTTGGAATGGGAAGAAATTGGAATGTATCGAAGACGATGATGTCGTTGCGATTCGAGAAAATGCCTGATCGGTTCCTAATCATTCCTAAATGGCAAAAAGAAGAGCATGACTTCAAATTTACTGCTACAGTTATTCTCCGCGAGACGAGAAGTAAAGAGATGCATGAGTGGGATTTCTAAGTCTAATGCCTTTTGTAGAAATAATTCTAGAAGCATGTTTAATGCAATTTGAAAAATGCTAGGGGTACACCATTTGGTGTACCCCATTTGTCCCTCACCCCCTCCATCACCACAAAAAAAAGGCAAGAAAATAAAAAAAAATAAACAAATAAAAATAAAAAAAATTGTATGGTGGAGAAATGGGTGGGGGACAAATGGGGTACACCATTTGGTGTACCCCTAGCATTCCTCATGCAATTTTCATCTCATTTTCTTTTTTTTGTTGGGGGTATAAACCCATGAGGCCATGACTGACTACACGTCTAGAACCCATGTTTAATGCAAGAAAAATGCTAGGGGTACACCACCTTGGGTGTACCCCAAATGTACACCACCTCCTCCAATGCCACATATATTGACAAATAAATTAAATAAAAAATAAATAAAAATGAGTGGTAGAAAAGTGGGTAGTGTATATTTGGGGTACACTTTTGGTGTACCCCGGATACACTTTTGATGTACCTCTAGCATCCCTCTCAATGCAATTTTCATCTCATTTTCTCTTTTTTTGAAATAGTCCCCTTTTTCCCCTATAAGTACTATGTAAGCTCTTTTTGAAAGGAATCTAAGGGGGTGTTTGTTTTTTGGCCAGAAGAGCTTCTAGCCTCTTTTGTCTGCGCCGCGCAGATGTTGAGCTCTGCAGATTGTTTGTTTTTTGGAAGATATTTCACTCAAAAATGTCTTCCTGACATCTTCTTGGAGAAGACATTAACCTATGTCTTCTAACATCTTCTCCATTTTTTTCTTCTACTTCTATTCACCACCACCATTGTCCACCACTGTCCACCACCATCACCACTGTCCACCATCACCGCCACCGTCGTCCACCACCGCCGCNTACACTACCACCATTAATTTATATAGCAGTCTACAGACATTAAAAAAAACAAACAGTCTTCTTCTTGCAGACCGCAGACCTTCGGTCCACCACTTCTCCTGCAGATGTCTACAGTAGTGGTCCGCAGACTGCAGACCTTTTCCTGCAGAAAAAACAACACCCCTTAAATTTAGAAGGAGAGAAAAACATAATTGCGTTGTATTCACATAAGTCAAATAAAAAAAACCTGATTACAAGTACTCTTATCCGTAGTCCTTCTGATATCTTGTGTTTTAGCTATCCCGACTAGTTCGCCATCTTGGACCCGGTCCAGCATGGTGAATTGACCTGGCTCATTTACACCATCAAATTGGCACCGAACATGGGACCGTGAGAGATTTGAAAAATTCACATGCGAAAACACCATATCGACCAATCATCTGGGTGATAGTGTCGTTAGCCACGACCTTGGCATGTCCGCTGGTGTTGTACCGACCACTAGAGGAGTCCCGACACTGTTCCCCGCCGTGGCATCCTTGGGAATGAGCCCTGTCATGGCGCCCTAAATTCCTTTGCTGATGATTGCACCGTTGTGCCTAGTAACAGGACCGCCATGGCTCCCAGGGGTCACGTTCACCCCAAGCCTGGAACACTTTTGGACAGACCAAGCTTATGCTCCGGCATTCTTGGGCTTTGGTGAGATCATGTCCAGGTTCCTGGAACCCGAAGGTTTCTCATCATTCGTACTCGGTATGTTCCCCCATGCTTTAACCAATTAATAATAATAGTAATAGTAATAATAATAGTAATAATAATATAAATAATAACAATAATAAGAGTAATAATAATAATAAATATAGAAATAATAATAATAATAGTAAGAATAATAATAATAATAGTAATAATAATAATAATAGTAAGAATAAATGTAATAATAATAGTAATAGTAATAATAATAATAGTAACAATAATAATAATAGTAACAACAATAAACTTTTTAATAATAATAATAACAACAACAAAATTAATAATAGTTATAATCATAATATTAATAGTAATACTAATAATGATGCTAATAATAGTGGTAATAATAGTAATAGTAATAATAATAATAATACTTATAATAATAATGATAATAATAATAATAATAATAATAGTTGTGTTTAGATATGGTGTGATCTGATATGATATGCTCTGATCTGATTTGATCTGATTGGATCTAATCTGATCTGTACTGATTAGATCTGATTTGATCTGAGTTTAATAAGAATAAGTAATAAGCAGAAAAAATAAGCTGAACGGAATGCTGCCTTAGTCATCTATGATCAAATATTATTCTAGTTGTCCTTATTTTATGGTATCGTTCTACGAATTGTCTTTTTTATGATTTTTTGTTATCTCGGTACAATCGGGTTCGGGTTCGGGTCACTTCGGGTTTGGGTCTAAGAGTGCTTGTTCATGACCCAGAGTTATCGGGTTCGGATTGACCCAACGGGTTAAGAGGCATATTTAAAAATTAAAATTTTTGCTATTTAGAGATCATGTGATCCGAGCATTATTCAAAACAAAGAATGAAATCATAAAAGTTTACAATTCTATTTGCAACATACCAAAAAAGAATTGCAATATACCCCAAAAAACCACCTTTTTGCAGCATACCAAAAAAATTGCATTAGATGAAAAAATTGAAGATTCTTTCAACATTCCCAAAAATATATATGCATTATGAAAAAATTGAGATTTTTGCGTCATACCAAAATAAAAGAAAAGAATTAAAACTTGAGTTACACGTAGGAGCAATTGAAGATGATGAAATACGATTAAAAATTCCACTGCTGATCTTGTGTCTTCTCACCATTTTGATTGAGTCGGCATCTAATATCGACGAGCGGTGGTATATATATACTAGTTTTTAACCCCGTGCTTCGCACGGGCTTGGGTTATATGCGGGTGTTGTTTCCTATTTTGTGAATATATACTTGGTAGACAATATATGAATACTCTAAGGCATAATGGGTAATTTTAGTATAATTAATCATCTTTGTAAGTCTTTCTTTTTCTTGTCATTTTTTTAGAATTGAGGATTTGAGATAGATTGTAGTCTTTTACGTTACATTTTTAAAAGGTTTTTTATTTTTAAAAAAGGAAATGTAGAAGGATAGAGGAGTAAACCAAAACCCCTAAAAGAGAATAAAAAGATACAGTGAATGAGTCACCCGAAATCATATTTACCAAAATCCAAACTTATAAAACTCAAGTCCAATTCCAACCAAAGACAACCTAGTCAAAAATTGAATACAGATTTTAACATCAAGCTCCATCTTTCATTTCTTACTTCATTTCTATTAGAAAAATAGGAACACCAAAATTTGTGTACAACATTGTGCCTTCATCATCATGATCTGCCACAATTTAGGCAAACCTAAGGCTCTTTAAAAACCAGACAAACAGTACTAACAGAAGTTGTACAGTGAAACAACATTAAAGTTTTTTAGGGTAGATTTTGCTAGCAAAATACCCAACTTTCTTTTTGCGCCACCTCTTTAATATATAAAGTGAAGGAAATAACTCTCGACACCAATACGACAACCATATGGTATTCGATTGAGTACAGATTTTAGCATCAATGCGTTGGGTGGACTCCTCTTGGGACACATGCACTACGGAGCCATTTTTTTCTGTTTTCATAAGGTGGATTATAATTAAATAACACAATCACACATACACAGTGCGAAAGTTTTGTTTTTTAAAATAAATTATCTCTTCATTTCCCATGTATACTAAAATACTTTCCTCCAAAACCTTATTTCCGTGAAACTCTGCCTATACGCATTCCTGTTGTATTGAGTGAGTTTCACTTGGAAAACACACCGATGGCCAGTAAGGTTACCAATAATAGCAAGCAGTTCTTCAGAATATTCAGCCTGTAAAAAGTTGTTTACTATATTCAAAACTATGCAAAAACACAATTATGATGTCATAACTCCAATAATTATTGATTACTCTAAATACCACTTCCATTTTCTCTTGCATATCGTTCACAGTCATGGTAGATTGTCTTATCATCTTCTCTGCAACATCATCGAATATAATGAATCATGTCATTGACTCCGACCTCTCACCTGTGAAAACCACCAGCACAGTGCAGGTAAAGTGAAAGAAGATGAATAGCAAATTCTTTGGAGAAGGGAAACGGTTTTAGTGACCGACAGAGAAGTGTGGATTCCCAAACCGACCGTTACATAGAGAAGAGAGTAATTGTACACGACGACCTCCATCCTCTCACCTGTGAAAACCACATCGCAACGCAAATCAATAACTCAAAATTGAAATAGCCCTAACGTAGAGCAAAAACTCTAAATCCAAATACCCTATTGGCATGTGACGGGGCAGGAAGTGGAACCAAGTCAGCAAAAACTATCAATGATAGCTGCCTAGTCATTCTACACGTGTAATGGCAGCATAACAAACAATCCAACATAAATTACAAAATGCAAGAATTTTAGACATGTACTAACTAATTACCATCAGCATGGGGTGGGGGGGATAGATATGCAAGTGAAAGTGATCAAACATAGTGTTATTCACACTCTTTAGTACGGAGTAGGTAATAAGAGCTTGTTAGCACCAAGACCAGGGACCACTCCAGTGGACTTGCCAGCACCCTTTTTTATCCTTCCATCAAAGGTATCAAGCCTTAATTGCTCCAAAACCTGATTTAGATACTGTTGGCAAGCTCAGAAAACACATTTACGAAGGGATGAAGATGAGGGCTCAATTGAGTCTCCAATATGTGGCCATATCTATAGCAATAAACACAACAAAGAATTGTTGGTACTCTATGATGCCATATTTATACAATCCTTTATATATATAATATTTGAGAGTTGAACTCTTAGAAATACGACATTTAGCGTGATGACTGGAATATTTTTTGACACCTAACCAGCCATGTCATCAAACGGACGAGTATCAGCGGATCTAGATGACCCAGTCCAATGGATAACTGGATATGCGCTCACCCACACAATCAGCGGATCTGGAAATATCATCATCTACGCGGCTACGCCTGCTATGGGGATCTGGAGATATCATCGTTCAAAATTTTAGGGAAATTTATAGCTGCATCTCG